GATATGGAGACAGAGAGGTCCAGGAAGGGGAGAGAGGTATTAGAGATGGTCCAGGTGAACTTAAGGTTGGGGTGAAAGGTGTTGGTGAAGTGGATGAACTGTTCGAGCTCCTCGTGGGAGCACGAGGCGGCGCCGATACAGTCATCAATGTAACGGAGGAAGGGGTGGGGTTTAGGGCCGCTGTAGGTACGGAAGAGGGATTGTTCCACGTAACGTTCCATGTGCCACAACGATGCCACCCGAAGGTTGCAGGAACAGCAACTCATATTCCGATTGGGAACCCTGCAGCCCAATGGCATCAATGTGGATTTCACAAGCTTCAAAATCTCCCCTCCCCCTACCGAATCCCAAAACCAGTCCAGCTCGTCCCCGCCTCCCTAACCTGTTCTTCCTCCCACCTATCCCCTCCTCCCACCTCAAGCCGCACCCCCATCTCCTACCGACTAACCTCATCCTGCCCCCTTGACCTGTCCGTCCTCCCTGGACTGACCTATCCCCTCCCTAACTCCCCATCTACACTCACCTTTACTGGCCCCATGCCCGCCTCTTCGACCTGTTTGTTTCCTCTCCACCTATCCTCTCCTCTATCCCTCTTCTATCCGCCTCCCACTCTCTCCCTATTTATTTCAAAACCCCCTTCCCCTCCCCCTTTTCTGATGAAGGGTCTCGGCCCGAAACGTCAGCCTTTCTGCTCCTATGATGCTGCTTGTCCTGCTGTGTTCATCCAGCCCTGCACCTTGTTGTCTCGGATTCTCCAGCATCTGCAGTTCCTACTATCTCTGATTCAATTAGGAGCAGGATTTGGCCATTCAGCCCCTCAAACTTGCCCCGCAGACAATGCCGATGGCCTCAACTCCACTCTCCTGCTCACTCTTTACAATCTGTGACTCCCCCTTAGCAATCCAGTCTAGTTCAGCTGTATATATAAGTCAGTGACCCAGCCTCTGCTCCTCTCTGGAGGGATGACTAATGACCCCCTTAGGGAACACATTTCTCTCCATCTCAGTCTTAAAGGGGGAGGTCCCTTAGTATAAAACCGTGTACCCTAGTCTAGATTTCCCCATGAGGGGAAACATCTTCTCAGCCTCCTGTCAAGCCCCCTCAGAATTTTAATTCTTTCAATAAGATCATGCCTCACTGATTCTCTGAAACTTCATTGTGTACGGGCCCAATTTCAGAACACAGCCATATCATCTCAGAAACTAGGCAAGTGAGCCTTCCCTGAATTGCTAATGCAATTGGATCCTTCCTTAAGTAAGGAGAGTAGATGCAGTCTCACTAGAACCCCAGTAATACTATTTGGAATATAACTTGGCTCACTGGTGGTCCATGTTTGTTTGAGCTGTTTCCCTTGTCAGCCCTGCTGTATGAAATGCAGCTTTCATCCATGTCTTGCCCACATTTTTTCTTTATTCATTCACGGAATGAGGATATAGCTGGGTAGGAAGCATTTATTGCCCATCCCTAATTGCCCAGAGGGCAGTTAAGAGTCAGCCATATTGCTGTGGGTCTAGAGTCCCATGTAGGCCAGATCAGGTAAGGATGGCAGTTTCCTTCCCTCAAGGGCATTAGTGAACCAGATGGGTTTTTTCCAACAATTAACAATAGATTCAACCATCAATAGACTGTTAATTCCAGATTTTTAAAATTGAATTCAAATTCTACCATCTGCCAGGGCAGGATTCAAAGCCGGGTCCCCAGAACATTATCTGAGTCTCTGGTATAACAGTCTAGCAATAATACCACTAGCCTATTGCCGCCCTATTGGACAGGATGGCCCCTGCAGCATTCCCACTTTGTTGCTCTCTGTTCAGCGAAAGGAATGAGATTGTAGGGAAATGGCCTGGGCAGTTGGTGTGGGAGGGCAAGGTGAGCCTTATTAAAATGGCAAATCACTATGGGTGGTCACTATGCTACAATATCTGATGCTGTCTGGGGTGTGTTGGGTAGATTTACTGTCACCAGTCCTTCTTGCTGATGCCATTTGGGGAAAGATGCCCACAAAACTGTCCTAGGCAGAAGTTAGTCTCAATCTTGATGGTGAGAAAATAGGTTAATTATATATTGCTTAATAACTAGATACGTTACATCTGGAATAGGTAATGGTCTCTTCTGAGACAACTTAGCTCGATTTAAAGTCAAGCATGTGTTACTATTTTAGTCAGAAGTCACACAACACCTGATGAAGGAGCAGTGCTCCGAAAGATTGTGATTTTAAATAAACCTATTGGACTATAACCTGGTGTCGTGCGACTTCTGACTTTGTCCACCCCAGTCCAACACCGGCACCTCCACACCATGGTTACTATTTTAGCTGTGTGCTATAAACATAATCATTGAAACACGATACACATTCTGGTGAGCATGTGGGGACTTGTAAGACACAACTGAGGACCGCTTAGCTCCTTTCCTCTTGGACAGTCCATGGGTGGAGCATATCTTGTGAAGTCAGTTAACTGCCTCATACAAAGGATCTGGCCTCTACTTTGCAGCTCACTCGGGTGTCTGACTGTGCCCTGGGGGGAAATAAAAAGCCTCAATGGCTATCTGGTGCTTCGTAATGACCTGAAGCTGTGAAGGGTACTATATAAATGCAACTACCTCTCTCCAACCATCATGCTGTTGTAAATCCTACAGCTGAATGAGAGGCTGGGTACAGTAGATAGTGGGAATCTGTTCCTGCTCATAACAGGAATAAGAACCAGAGGGCAGATTTAGAGTGATAGAATCCCTACCGTGTGGAAAGAGGCCCTTCAGCCCAACAAGTCCACACCAACCCTTGGAGCATCCCACCCAGACCCATCTCCCTATAACCCACACAGCCCTGAACACTACAGGCAATTTAGCATAGCCGATCCACCTAGCCTGCACATCTTTAGACTGTGGGAGGAAACCGGAGCACCCGGAGGAAACCCACGCAGACACGGGGAGAATGTGCAAACTCCACACAGACAGTCGCCTGAGGCTGGAATTGAACCCGGGTCCCTGGCACTGTGAGGCTGCAGTGCTAACCATTGAGCCACCGTGCCGCCCTACATGTGATGTGCAAACGTAGCATGGAAGAAGTGGGGAAAATCTTTTTCACGCAGCAAGTCGTTCAGGTCTGGAAAGCACTGCCTGGGAATGAGGTGGAGGCAGGTTCAGACTGAGGTACTTGAGGCTGATGAGGGTTTATTTTGATCAAAATAATGTGCGAGGTTATGGGGAGCAAGCTGGAGATTTGCAAAAGGTAGTTGTGCTCATTTGAAGAATCAGTGCAGGCAAAATGGGCCAAAGGGCCCCCTCCTGCTCACTAACACTTCAGTGACTGTGTCTTCAGTGGGCGCTAGAGCAATGCAGGTGAAGCAGGGACTAGGTGGTGCCAGGCTTGAGGTGGCAGTGGCAATTCCAGATGGAGTGGGAGTACAGTGGGAAGAAATGGGAAATGGTGCAGAGAGCAGCAAGGAAGAATGAAAAGGGGAGGGATTTAGGTGCTATTGATAACTATGCAACCACAGAACTATATATGGATTGTGTACAAATAGGGGAATATTGTGGCCTGGGAGCAGCCTCTCTCTGTCTATCCGGATCATCTATTGAGCAGCTGTACAGACGATTGCCTCCCAGTCCTGTGGGAGAAGCACAAAGAGCTCTCGGGTTACCATGCAAAACCGTTGTTCTCATCCGCGTGGTTAGACTTTAAATGGATTCTTCATTTCAAAGCATGAACCAGTGCCATTTATAGATCCCAGAGCTGAGAAATATTTGTTTGAGAGCTGGTGTGAGGCCACACATACAGACACGCTGTCGTGATGATCTGCTTCCCAACTCGCTCTCCCAAAGAAAGTACAAATTCCCCATTCCTTAGAATAGCCATTTCAATTCCCTCGGGACAAGGCCCTGTCTCCCCTCTCTGGTGGATGTGAGAGATTTCCTTGGCCATTTTAAGAAAAGCAGTGCCGTTCTGCTCCCATCACTTGATCAGGTCATTTGATTCTTATTGATTTGCAGTCCATGGGAGCTTTCCCTGTGCAGTTTTCCTTCATTAGAAGAAGCAATATGATCATTTAATGTTTAAAGCATGCAAGGAGGCTTCCTGACCTTGCAGGCTGTCTGTAAGAGTAACTCAGTTACCGTCCTGTCTATCCCCCAGAACTTCACAAAATTCTTCCCCTTCAACTCATTTACCTTGATCTTAAACTGCTGTCTCAAATCTCTCCACCTGCTGTTCTCTAGGGAGAACAGATCCAACTTCCCCAATCTATCTTCGTAACTGATGCCAGGGACTTATCAGTCTTCTCTACACCATCTCTAAAGCCTTCACATCCTTCTTAAAATGTGTTGCCCAGAACTGGACACAACACTGTAGTGTTTAATAAAGGTTCACCTTAACATCCTTGCTTTTCTACACTGTCCTTCTCTCCATTTTTATTTACCACTTTCTCGACTCACCCCGTTTCTTTTTTTAAAAAAAAGATGCTTATGGAGTGAAGGTGTCGTTGGCAAGGCCAGCATTTGTTGCAATTAAGAGTCAACCACATCTCTGTGGGTCTGGAGTCACGTGTAGGCCAGCCCAGGTAAGGAATGCAAATTTCCTTGCCTGAAGGATATCAGTGAACCAGATGGTTTTGTTTTGATACTAAATGACAGTGGTTAGCTTTTATTAATTCCAGATTTTTATTGAAGTCAAATTTCACCATCTACCATGGTAGGATTCGAACCTAGATCCCCAGAAATAGTCAACCTGTGACATTAATACTATGCCATCACTTCCCTTGTGGCAATAGCATTAGCTTCTCTTGGGTTGTGGCTCCAAATGTGTCAATAACCTCAATTCACATGCAAACCTGAATATAAGCTATTCAGCCATGAAAGCATCATTAAAAACCAGTCCCTCTCATACTCACTGTCCTCCCCCTTGGCATTCAGTTTCCACCTTTTCTAAGTAAGGGGGGGATGTTGGTTCCAACACCAGCGATAGAGACAGAGACCCCAGGACATTTGTTACTGGAGCATAGTTCCTGCTGACTTCATAAATGTTGTTATTGATCTGTGACCTATGGGTATTTCAACACAGAGGATCATTTGTCAATATTTTCTTTGTTGGCCCTCTTTGTTTTATTAATGTGAGACTTCCAGCTAATAATTTCTCCTCTTCTTTTATTCCACCAGGATGGGCAAAAGCTTCTGCAGCACTGCTGATAATTGGTTGTATCCTGTTGATCATCTGTTTCATCCTGTCCTTCCTTGCTCTTTGCAAGGAGCAGTCAGGTCTGCTGAGAGTGATTGGTGTCATCCTCTTTGTTGCTGGTAAGTGTTGCTGTTTGGTAGATGCCTCACTGCCTCCCCAGGGGCCTCACTACCTCTGCATAAGGTGCCATTTCTCCCCAACCAATATGAACATAAGTATCTGGCACCTTGAAGCTACTATACCTTCCAATACTTCATCTTCTGTGTCAACTCCACTTTACCACCCAGTTCTCAAATGCCTCAATTCCTTCCAACACTGAGCACCCATGGCTGTCTTGAGATAGAAAATTCCAACGCTTCATAATACTCCAAGTGGACAGATCTCGCATCTCCATCCTGAAGGAAATGGATTTGACTCCGCCTCCTCTCTCTGAGGTTACATTGACCTTGTTAGCGCAGTTTCCAAGTCTCTGCTAACAGTACCCTTCAAACCCACAAAATGGGAAAAAGATTGGGATCCATAATTTCTCTTCTACTTTCATGAAAAGCTCTCAACAATCCAACACTACACACGAGCAATCATCATGTTGGTGACTGGTTACTGGAATCAAACTCTTTTGATGGGTTTGCAACAGACCCAGACTAAACACAGGAATATTTCCAATGATAAAGAGCTTTGCTTTTTCCCAAACCATATGTCATTCTCAAATTACTCCTATTATAGGAGTTTAGGAGCTCATGGATGATCATCTACCTCAAAATATAGCAGGAAAATAGTGTTATGTGCCTTGATGTCCTTAGTAAGTAGAATTCCATCATTTTCTGTGGTGAAGTTAATGAATAACTGAATTCTCTACCCTGGAGGACTGTGGAAGTTCTGTCAGGTCACAGCCCTCTGAGTGAAGTCATTCATCCTCACCTCAACCCTAAGGGGTATGAAGAGAAAGTGGGAATGGGAAACTGGGATTGCATGATCAGCCATGATCATATTGAATTGTGGTGTAGGCTCAAAGGGCTGAATGGCCTACTTATTTTCTATGTTTCTGTGTAACATGCCCTTTATTCTGAGATAGAGTAATTATAATCAACGATATTATTTTCTGCAAGTAAAATGTACCCAATTCACACACCGAATATTTTCACACCTGCCAACCCGGTTTGTTCCATAGCTTGACCAGTCACTCCGAATAGCTTTTGTGCCCCTTTCATGTTCCCCAGTTGCACTCCAGTAATTCAGTTTGGATGATCAGTGTTAATAGGTGGCAAAACATGGCAGTTCCACTGTGCACAGCAAGACTCCACAGATGCACTGTGCAAAGAATGAACAGCTAATTACAGGTAGCATTGATGAAAGCAGGGACCAACAAGATAAAAAGGGAACCCAACTGCCCCTCAACAAGAAAAGAACCCCAAAATCTGCTCCTTTTTACATCCAGCAAGTTTTGATTAAGACTGGGGACTCTTGGCTCATGCCAGGCACTATGGTCTATGTACAAGTGGATCAATGCAGGTTTTCCTTCACTCCCTTCCAGAGAAAACGTAGTAAAGTCTTGTTAGTTAAGAACATTTTTTTTAATAAAGAACATGAGGGTCAGGAGTGCGCCATCTGGTCCCATGAAGTTACTTTATCAGTCAGTAAAATCCTAGCTAATCGTTTACTTCAACCCCACTTTTCTGCCCTATCCCCAAGACTTTTAATTCTCCAAAAATCTACCAATCTTCGTTTTCAATGTACTCCATGACTGAACATTGTCTGTTCTCTAGAGTAGTGAATTCCAAAGGTTCATTGCTTTCTGAGTCCAAAATGGCTGGCCCCTTATCCAGACATTGATCAATTTAATTGATCAGTGGCTCGAGAATCAGTTCCCGTTGACCAACATGAATGTGGAACTTGATTGCTGTATTTCAATCGGAAAGCAATTCAAATTCCTTACACTCAAAATACTGTTCCATCAATGTAAGGGTTGAATCTGCCGATGTTTCTGGTTATAAGCATGGATAAGTGGGCCTTCAGCAACAAGCTTGCATCCAGCGACAATGAAGCCAATATGTCGAGTTTGATTCCAATTGATTCAAAACTCACCCCACCAATCTCGGATAACTGATGCATTGGGTGTGTTTTGTTTCCCTCTCTAACTGTTTTCTTCTGCCCCCACTCTCCCCAGTCCTCTTCCAGTTCATCGCCCTCATCGTATACCCGGTCAATTTCACCAAGACCCTCATCCAAAATGGCAACTATGAATACAGCTGGAGCTACGGCTTTGGCTGGGGTGCCACCATCCTGATGATTGGCTGTGGCATATTCTTCTGCTGCCTCCCCAAGTACGAAGATGAACTCTACGGTCAAGCTAAACCCATCTACATCTACGGCTGAGCCCTTGGAGTCAGCGGTGGCGAAGATTTGACTCTGGTGCCTTGCACACATGTACATTCGCTGTTTCAAAAGGCCAGAGGAATGACAATGTTCCCTTTCTTTTTGAGAAACAAAAGAACCTGCACATTTTATTACACACAAGTACTGGATTTGACAATGTTCTTGTTTTTAAATGTTACGGTAGTTTTTATTTTAAAAGGTTTGGCTTTAAATAGACTTGCTGGTGTTGGGGATAGCAAGAGGTAAGATTTTAGGGAAGTGGGGGGGGGATGATACAGACACTAGACCGTCACCAAATGAAATTTATAGCCAGTATCTGAATCTTAAAAATTGAAATGACAAATCTTTCCACTTCCCTCTCTGGCATCTACTCCTCTTAATGATAAAAATTGTGGTCTCGGTTAGGATGAAATGAGTGCTGGGAATGGCAAGAAAAGTTGGAATAATGTTGATTGTGAGAGAGTATTATGGTGTCCCAAGGACAAAATGGCTAAGGATAGAAATTAATTCCAGTTGGGAGAGTACAGAGGAGTATTTTAATGCAAGGACTGTATTAAGAATAGGATGACATTGCTATTCAGATATTCTTGTTTTGTATTTTAATCTTTGACCAAAAAAAAATCTATTGCTTGTTCAAATGCAAACACAAACTTTGACCATAAAATAGTTGATATTGTATGAAAAGTAATAATTGACGTTCTGAAGATTCAATTTTGACCATTACACAGCGTGCACCTGTCTCCAAATATTTCTTCTCTGGAACATTACGGTTCTAGTCATGGGCAAAAAGGTACATAACAGGGGTATGTATTAGAACTTGCTTAAAATTCTGAGAGACTTAGAGAGCTGGATTGAGAAAAACAGTCTTGATAATCAGAGGAAGCAAATTTAAGATCATTGGGAAACGAACCACACGGGAGATTTTTTAAAATTTATTCATTCATGGGATTTGGGCATCACTGGTTTGGCTAGCATTTATTGCCCATCCCTAATTGTCCAGAGGGCAGGTATGAGTCAACCACACATTGCTGTGGGTCTTGAGTCAAATGTAGCCCAGACCAGGTAAAGATGGCAGTATCCTTCCCTACAGGACATTAGTAAACCAGATGGGGCATTCCTGCCAATTGCCATTGGTTTCATGGTCATTGTTAATCTATTGATTCTGGATTTTTATTGAATTCAAATTCTACCTTCTGCTGTGGTGGAATTTGAACCTGGGACCCCAGAACATTCCCTGGGTCTCTGGATTAACATTCCAATGATAATACCATTGGGTCATCACCACCACCCCGTCCCTCCATCCCCCTTTTACACAATGAGTTGTTACATATTGTAGTCCATTGCCTGAAAGACCAGATTCACCTTTAAGTTTCAAAAGGGAATTTGAAGAATACTCAAAGGGGAAACTGTAGGGAAAGAGCTGGCACAGGAACAATGTGCTTATCACTCTGCCATTCTTTACATTATACATTTGCACAGCTTTTCCACGGACACTGAATATTTTTATGGCAGATTCATGACTAATGAGGGAGGCAGGAATGTAGATTGAGTTCATGATCAAATTAACCATGATCTTATCAAATAGCAGAGCAGTTTCGAGGGGCCTAGTCCTCACCTGTTTCTGCTCAAGATTGTCGATGCACTTGTGGACAAAGTTATGAGTGATGCTGCTTTGAATTGTGAGGGGAGAGTGATACGATACATCTGCAAAACATTGTCTGCAGTTTGTCAGTATAAAATCTTCAGCTTCTCAGAAAACACAGGGTGGGGCATGAAGAGATAAGGCTTAAAAACAAAAGCTTACACACTGAGGCTTGTTAGGACATAGAGTAGTGACAAATATCTGCAACAGTTTTGCAAAAGACAAACAGTTGATGGTTTGAAAAGGGGACAAGTGGATATAGTGAAAAGATTGGAAGATGGTTGTAAGTAGTTAGTTCTTTCAGAGTCGTCACAGGCACAAGAGCTTCATGAGCTCTTAGGTTTTATGATATCACATTAAGTGTTAGCCTGGCTGTGTCAGTATAATTCTAATCTCCTGGGCAGGAGCCTGTGCATTGCAAATTCCATTGAAGATTAAACTTGCATTTATATCGCAACTTTTTAACAATCTCAGGACATCTTTGTAGTCATTGGAACGAGGCCAGCCAGGTGGACCTTGCCAGGTGGACCTCATAGAAACGAGTTCCCTGATTGGACCAGGTTCACACCCCCAATCAGGGAGCCCTGGCTGACAGATAGAAACAGGAGTGTTAGAGATTGTGTTCACACTAGGAGCTGGCTCTGAGCTAGCTGGGTCAGTGTCATGTACAATGCACACGTAAAATAAAGAGTGACTTGGTGATGGGATACCGGCCTTTGTGGAGTTATTTAAATCCCAACTTTCTTTATTGCCAATGAAGCACTTTCGGATTGTGGCTATAAATATAGGAAACAACATGCAGCCAACATGCACACAGCAAGATCCCATAAGCAGCAATGTGATGATAATCTGTTTCAGTGGAAGTGGACCAAGACAGTGGGGAGCATGGCCCTGTTTTTTCTAGTAATGCTTTGGGAGCTTTTAAATTCACTTGAGCCCTTTGGTTTAATGTATTATCTGATATGCAGATTTCCCTGGCAATGCAGCATTTCCCCCCCGCCACCCCACCCCCACCACCGGCACCGCCTCGTGGCTGCCGCCCAATGTGTGTTCTGTTTGCTGGG